TCGTCCTTGTCGCTCCTCTCCGGAGAAAAAGATGGGGACCTGTAGTTTTGTCTGGCACGGTGATCGTGCTGAGTTTCCCTCGAGCGGGATGCTCGGTGGTTGAATGTCACACGCCCGTCCTCGGCGTTCCTCTTGTCGTGCCTTGACGGGTCGCGACTGGGTTCTCCGGCAGGGATGGCGGGCTGTCTCTCATAGTAGGGCCTCCTCTGCTTTGGCCGGGGAGAGGGGCTTCTGGAGTTCTCCCTGTAGTGTCTCCGCAAGGGAGAAGGGTGTCGAACTTCTGTGACCCGAGGAGGTGGAGAATGTGGCCTCCGATGCCTCCTCGGGGGTCGTCGATCATCTTCAAGTGCCCTTAATCTTTCTCCTTGGGCGAAGATGAGATAGTTCGTCTGATTAATGGCCGCGAACAGTGCCTGAGTCGTGGCATCTGCCCCGGCGGGAACTGGGACTTCATGGAACCGGGCAGCTCTGTAATGAGCAAGAGCTACCGGGTCGTCTTCAAGTGGTGGTGGGATCGGGGAGGATGATGCAGTAGCCCCGTCCCTGTAGGAGGAAGTTCTAGGGGCGGTCGTCACAGGAATGGTGTTGTGGCCGGGATCACCGGGGTTATCGAGGTGTCCATTCTTGTCCGCGGTACCGTTATTAGTGTCGGCGACACGGATGTGCTGCTCGTCGCGAGCTGGACCAGCCATGACAGGTAGTCGAATTGAGCTTTGGTCTTTTGAGTTGTTTGTTAGACGGGGAAGCTAGATTCCCACAGACGGCGCCACTGATCTGACCTGATCAGAAATGGACCGTCACGGCTGGCTCCGAGCAGAAATCTTTTTGAACGAAGTGGGGGGGTACCTGCAAGGCACTCCGATGCTGAAGTAAGTAGGAGTACGAGCAGATAATAGCAAGTGTAAGGTTAGAATGATGAATACCTGACCCTCTGGAAGCAGAGGGTATTTATAGCCCCCAGCGCTGGCCCAAGGTTCCTTCATTGGGCCGGGCAGGTTTGGCCCAATGGAGGAACTGTCAGGTTCTACGTGTGTAGTGGGGACCCGCACGTGGTCCCCTTCCTGGATGTTCTGCGTGAAGTGCGGGCGGACGGAGACGCGGTCTTTTCGGGATATCGTTGGGGGAACAGTGGACTGAGTCTGCCCTAGATGGGGTGCTCGAGGTAATGTCGAGCTGGACCTCAGGATGTGGTGCTGGACCGCAGCATGTCGAGCTGGAGGTGTGCTGTCGAGCCTGCGACTACCCGTCGGGCACGGTCGTGCTCTTTGGTCGGCGTGGCCCTTGTAAGTCCATTTGGACTGGGCCTTTGCAATGCTTTTGGGCCTGTCGGGCCCAGTCCAGAACAATTATCTACATTCAAAACAATATGTTCTTCATTATTTATGTTTGATTGTTCATCCTTAAAATTTTCAATTGCGGAGTCTAAGTTATCTGGATTCATATCATTTTAAATAGAAGTTGTAGAATACTTACTAATTTTTTTTATCTAAAGCTTCTTTTTAAGATTTAACAACAATTTCAATTCGTTTATTTCTTTTTCGCTTTTAATGATCGGAAAGTTATTTTCTATGCAACATTTCAACAACTCAAAAAGCACAATAAAAAAGTCAATAAATATAATGAATAAATAATAGTAATAAGTTAGTAAACATTAATACCTGATTTTTTATTGTTGGCTCTAAACCTCTACTAGAAGCCCCATCGACCAAAACAAATCTACACATGTTGTAAACACACAAAAAGTAACAACATATGAAGTATGGATTAATAAAGAAACAGTGTACAATAGCATAATGTAACAAATTGATAAAACTACAACCAACAAGATCGATAAAGAAAATATACTCACATAGTCGATAGGGAATCTCCTCAAATGTAGATAAAAAAGAGAACGGGACTATTTTTCTGAAAGAATGTTAAAAATATAAATGTTATTTTCACTAATTTTAGATTTTTTTTTTAATGAATCACATTTATGAGAGTGTTTATTTTAGTATAAAATGAGAATGATTTTAATATATTTAATAATTAATTTTTTATTATTATATATGATATATCGTATGTGATTCAATTTAAAATTAAATTTTATTAAATTTATAAAAAGCATTAATATTAATTAATTATATATATATATATATATATATATATATATATATATATATATATATATATATATATATATATATATATATATATATATATATATATATATATATATATATATATATATATATATATATATATATATATATATATATATATATATATATATATATATATATATATATATATATATATATATATATATATATATATTTGATACCAAAAAATTTGATGTCATGTGTCACCGCTCCTCCCGAACATCTTTGGAATCCTCTGGATGCATAGAAAAATTGTGTGAAGACAACGCTAAGAAATGTTTATGAGAATTCTAGTGTCATATTTTTTTGTCATTCGAAAAATCCAAAAAATATTGGTGTAGTCATCAACAATGATAAACAAATATGAAAATCTTTCTATAGAGATATTACGGACATGGCTCCAAATATCCATACGTGTTAAGTCAAAAGCATTCAAAGTAGTAGTAAAGCTATGAGAAAAAGGCAATTTAGTTTGTTTGGCTAAATAATATGAATCACATATCAAATTTTTATTGGTATGAACATAAGAAAATTGTTTATACATGTTGGAGAAACACGCATATAAGGATGGCCTAGAATGCCAAACATAAAAAGTATTGGTAGAAACAACATTAGTGTTGCTAAAACAGTAATCAACATTATTAGGTGAGGATATTATCATGATTGAGGATGTATATACTATTGATGTGGTCCAGTTCCCAATCATCTTCTTGGAGACCAAGGATTTTGAGATAGATGGTAAATTAAATTAAAACTGAGGAATGTAAAGAACATTATACAAAATATAAATTCTCGGTGAACAATATGGAGATATCATAGTATGCAATAATTTTGTGATCATATGATAAGTAATGGGTGCACCATTAATTCTATGAATGTGAGAAAAGGACACACGTGATCTGATGCTCCTAAATCTAAAATCCACAACCTAGAATTGTGGAAGGGGTTATCTATTTTGGATATGCTGGAGCTTACATGTGATGTTTCCTCAACTGAATTTCCATTGTTGACAATCTGATATGCATCATGTTTAGATGATTTCAACAGATTGACAAGGTATTGATAATCTTTCTTGCTAATAAATTGTGAGCCCTCTTTGAATGTGTGGGAATGAGATTTCTTGCTCTCAACATTGTCATTAGGTATTGAATGATTATTGGTCCTATAACCTATGGGAAAATCCATGCCTGAAGTATCCATTCTTTACTGTGTGGTTGTTTTGCTAGAGTGACTGCACATGATTGATTCATGATACATGCTTGAAGTAGCAATTCTTAACTATGCGGTTGGTTTTGTTACAATGACTGTACATCATGGTGTTCTTGGGTTTCCATTTACCTTTGATTTTGCCTTGATTGTAGAGAGATCGTTCTTTGTATGAACCGATACTTGAGGCAGCAATAATGTTGGAATCAATGGATGTGTTAAGAGTAGATGTGTCTTATTGAACAATTAAAGAAATAGGTCTTGCTGAGAGTTTGAAGTGAATCCAAGAGAAGTATTTGTGTGTGAATGTCGTTGTAAGTGTCGTTGAGACCCTTGAGAAAGCATGTGATATATTCTAGGTGTTCTTAGAAATGAACTGATGAATTCAAAGAACAACGACATTTTTGTGAACATATGCAAAAACGATTTGGTTGAAGGAATTCCAATTGTCCTAAATGATTCTTGAGATCTATAAAATATACTAATATGGTGCGATTTCGTTGCTTGAGTAAATTTGAGAATCGATAATGATCTCCCTTTGTGTATGAGTCTTGTAGGTCTTTCTAAACATTTGCCTTGTCAAAACAAATCATGCTCTGAGTGATTTGGTGGTTGAACTACTGATGAATTGAAGCTTGTTCTTAAATGAAAGAGTGTTTTCATGAATTTGCGCTAATTGTGGTAATTAGAGTTGTTGAGCGGAGAGCAACAAGAATGACCTTGGGTTTTATTTTATCATGTGAATTGATTCAACGACTAATTTTATCACACTTAAAAGTCAACATTTTAATTTATCTCATGTCCACTATTATCCCATTTGTCATCAAATGTGTTTTAGCAAAGCGAGTCCTTGATCTTGACCCTCAGACAGCTTATATTAAGAGATGTATTCAAAAATAAATACAGTGACATTGAAATATGAACTATTAATCTCAATCCAATGACTAAGGTATGTTTGTTTGATGTAAAAAGTAAGGCGACAAATTGAAATTTCTGTGTTGCCTTGTGTTTTTGTACATTGTGTATCGTGATGCCAGAACAAATCACCAAACACGCTAAGACTGTTTAACTCTATGCTTCTATAACTACAAGGAATCTGAGTCTCTATCTAAGTTTTCAATCATCCATAAACAGGGGAAAAAGAAAAGAACATTGGAATCATTAATGATGATACAATACAAGTAGACAAGACATTCAAGCCATAATCAAAGCGCACCAAAGAAGCTGGTATACAACAGAAAAATGTCAAATGAAGATTCTCGGTTGCAAAAATACAAGCAACAACCTAAGTAATTTGACTGAGGTATATTTCACAGGTTGTAATAGTAGACCAAACAAGCATGTGGACATGCAATTTGTATATAGTTTGGTTTAGTTCAAGTCACAGTTGTGACTCTCTGAGGGATAAGATATCTGATTTTTAATATAACTAAAAAAATCAAATATATTTAACTTTTTACTTAAGTTTAAGATCGAAGAAGTGACACTAAAAATGGGTTGATCCCTATTTCTGGACTAAAAAAACCAGTGATCTTGTCAAAATTCTAAATGTACACACGACACGATCCACACCAATGAAATCTTAGCAGCAATATCTGAAAACACAGATAATTCACACCCACAATACGTCATACCATTTTCGCATAAGCACAATCAGTCACCCGAGGATGAGTAAATGTTGTACTCGTTTAAACGTCTCTGGAATTGAGCCAACTGAGTCTGCAGTTGAAATATTCCTGCCGCCTTTTGAGACAAAATGGTATTCAATTTGGAAATGTAAGCATCCAATTGATTTCCTGGTTGATCAGCTTCAAAGAGTAAATTCATCTCCTGCATAAAAATATCTAAGTATTAGAGAAAATACCAAACTTAGAAAAATCAATAACAAAAAAAGGTATAAGAAATTTGTACATACCTCCCTAACAATATCTACCGTTTCCTCCACTTGTCTGCGGTGAGCAGTTACAAGTTCTTCCTCATCCTAATTTCCATGTGAAGAAGGAATCATTCAGTATTTCATGTCAGAGATATCAAGGAAAACTATAGTTTTACAAATGCCAATTAGACGAAACTGGAGAATGTCTTCTGATTGTGTATTACAACCACTACCTCTCTTGTTTTCTGTCAAATACTAAATTAAAGGTTTTTGTCCTTTTATAAATAAAAAACTGATGTACATTCTTCTCTTTCATATACTACTTGTTCGTGATAAATAGCTGTACTCATTTATCAATGTGACATAAGAACATACCTTCAGCAGAGCATTAAAATCATCATCAGGATCAGAATATCTATTCTCAACATGTGATAGATTTGCATGTTTAGCACGAGAGCCTGTCTTCCTTTTGTCTTCCACGGTAGATAACTGGTTGTTATCTACCCTCTTGCTTGCTTTTCTTGTTCTGTCTTGTCCATATGTTGGTACTAGGCAATCATTTTCCTTCTCAGCTCTGTCATTTTGAATACCTCTTTGTTGGTCAGAGTACACAGACGGTGCCAAATTTCCCTCTGTCCTACCACTTGCAACACAGTTCACCTTATTTGGAGGCGAGGGTTCTCTTTGAGGCTGTTTGGACCATCCAAATTGATTCCTCTCACCGGAAACATATGTTATTTCATCTTCATCGATATCATCATTAGGTAAAATCGGCAATACAGTTGAGTCTCTAAGGTTGGATAAAGAAAGTGAATCCTTTCTGGAGCTGTTCCCCTTTGACAAGCTCTTTACCCTGAGAAATATATTGTCAATTAGAATACTGTTATATAAGATCAATTTATTTCGGTAATGTACCCTTTTTGGTGGAACAATCCAGGGAAGACGAAATACACTAACACAGAATAAAGCTACGGCTAGACTATTCTAAAAATCACTTTATTCGTTCATTGTCCTTGTTAATCATTACATTCACCAATTCTCTACTTATGCAAGCTGGGCATAACAGAAATTCGCATATTCTAACAAACTAACAATGACTGATCCTAATGGATCTATCTAGATCCTTCTAGAATAGGTGTGACTCGTCCATCAAAAGAACTCATAGGCTACTTGGGACTATTCTATTCTTCTCCGAGCCTATATTAGGTCATGACTCATGACACTTTCTAACCAAGAATATTTTCAATGTGCATACTGATAGGATCTGACAGAAAATGGTAAAGCAGTTAGTTACAGTAGAAATGTCTTATTGCAGTAGAAACAGTTACACAGACACAGCAGTACGGTAACTGCCAAATTAAAAGAAATAATTGACACAATAATAACCAACTTCTAGGAATTATAGAACCTAGTCTCTCCTTTGACCAAACCACAATTAACAACAACATGATGACCACTAATTGTCCTTATTCTATTTAAAACATACTTGTTGATATTTGTAAATATATATTGTTAAGAATATTTGTATGTAGAATAGTCCCACATCGATTATATCGTGTAATTAGTTGTAATCTCTCTATATACAATAAAGTCTCCCTAGTGCTTTCAAAACACACGGTTTAACCTAAATGTCTCTTAATTTCTCCTAATTCAATATGGTATCAGAGCAGAAGAAGGTAACATCGGCCGATATCAGGTATCGTTGCAGAGTGTGTGAGTAGCAACGATAACCCTTTTGGGATCGATGATAACCAAGAAAGACACACTTTAGTGATCGAGCTGATGGAGCAACCACCTCGGTTTGTTGCTCAGGGGGAGTCATCGAATATGGTTTGTAGGCTACACAAGCCTCTTTATGGTCTTAAACAATCTCCGAGAGCTTGGTTTGGCAGATTCAGCACTGTAGTACAACAATTTGGTATGGTTCGTAGTGAAGCTGACCATTCTGTCTTTTATCGTCACTCAGTCCAAGGGTGTATTTATCTTATTGTGTATGAAGATGATATTGTCATAACTGGTAGTGATTAGTCGGGAATACTCCAGTTGAAACAACATCTTTCAAATCAATTGCAGACAAAGGATCTTGGTAAACTCCGGTATTTCTTGGGTATTGAGGTAACCCAATCTAAAGATGATTTGGTGATTTCTCAGTGGAAATATGCTATGGATATTTTGAAAGAAACAGGTTTGTTTAACGTTAAACCAGTTGATACTCCTATGGATCCAAGTGTCATACTACTACCCAATTAGGGGGAGCCTCTATCAGACTCGGAAAGTTATAGGAGATTGGTTGGAAAGTTGAATTATCTCACAGTCACTCGTCCAGACATTTCTTTTGCAGTCAGTGTGGTAAGCCAGTTCTTAAATTCCCCTTGTCAGGAACACATGGATGTTGTTATCCAGATTCTAAGATACATCAAATGTGCTCCAGAAAAAGGTTTAGTGTATGAAGATAAAGGACATACTCAGATAGTTGGATACTCTGATGTTGATTGGGCAGAATCACCAATTGATAGACGATCCACCTCTGGATATTGTGTACTTGTTGGAGGAAACCTTATATCCTAGAAAAGTAAGAAACAAAATATAGTTGCACTATCAAGCGCCGAGGCAGAGTATAGGGCCATGGCAATGGCAACATGTGAACTCATTTGGTTAAAATAGTTGTTCAAAGAACTTAAAACTGAAGAAGCAAGACCAATGACACGTGTATGTGATAATCAAGCTGCATTGCACATTGCTTTAAATCCAGTCTTCCATGAGAAGACCAAACATATTGAGATAGACTGCCACTTTGTCAGAGAGAAGATTGAATCTGGCGACATCGTCACAAGCTTTGTCAACTCTAATGATCAATTGGCAGATGAGTTCACAAAATCTCTGCGAAGCCCCAGAACTAATTATATATGTGACAAGCTTGGTGCATTTGACTTATATGCTCCAGCTTGAGGGGAGTGTTGATATTTGTAAATATATATTGTTAAGAATATTTGTATGTAGAATAGTCCCACATCAATTATAGCGTGTAATTAGTTGTAATTTCTCTATATATAATAAAGTCTCCGTAGTGCTTTCAAAACACACGGTTTAACCTAAATGTCTCTTAGTATCTCCTAATTCAATAATACTGAATAACATAAATTGGGCCTAATTACTTGGACTTTTGGTTTTACGCCTAGTATAGACAAACTTGATAGAAGGCCTGTTAACAATACTCCCCCCCAAAAGTTTCACCTTGTCCTCAAGGTGAAAAGCAGGAAACTGCTGGTTGATGGAGTCAAAGGATTCCCATGACACTTCAAACTCAGGCAGCTGCTTCCACTGAACCAAGACTTCAACGTGACCAGCAGGAGCTGTCCGGACAGGTTTGATATCCTGAGGTTCCACCTCCAATTCCATGTCTTCAGTCAGCATAGGGGGTAGGGGCTTAGCTGAACAGCAGGGGAAATCTCCTTCTTAAGTAAGGAAACATGAAAGACTGGGTGAATCTTGGTACCCGGTGGCAATTCCAATTGATAAGCAACCTGTCCAACAACTTTGGTTATCTTATATGGACCATAAAACCGAGGACTAAGCTTCTCATTGATCTTGTGTGCCAAAGATTTCAATTTGTAGGGTTGCAACTTTAAGTAAACCAAATCACCAACGACAAAAGAGATGTTGTGACGATGCTTATTCGCTTGTTGTTGCATCTGATTCTGAGCCTTCTGCAGATTGGCTTGGAGTTCCTTCAAAATGGTGTCACGCTCCTCTGTTAGTCTAGTAACTTCAGCAAGAGAAGATGGGACAGTTGTGCCTTTTCATAAGGTGAGGGGGGTCGTGGCCATAGAGGGCTCGAAACGGTGTCATTTTAATCGAGCCATTATAGTTGGAGTTGAACCAGATTCTGCCCAGCCAAGCCATTTGGACCATAGCTTCGGTTTAGTACATGTGAGACAGCGGAGATATGTCTCCACACACTTGTTTACCACCTCTGCTTGACCATCTGTTTGAGGATGATAAGCGGTGCTAAACTTCAATTTAGTACCAGCCAACCGGAAAATTTCAGTCCAGAGGATGATAAGCAGTGCTAAACTTCAATTTAGTACCAGCCAACCGGAAAATTTCAGGCAGAAATTACTGAGGAAGACTTTGTCTCTGTCAGATACTATTGTTGCCGGAAACCCATGTAAACATACAATCTCTTGGTGGAACAATTCAGCCACGCTTTTGGCGGTGAAAGGATGTGCGAGGGCAATGAAATGGGCATATTTAGTAAAGCGATCAACCACCACTAATATAGCATATTTTCCATAGCTCTTCAGGGTGGGATATCAGCCCATACTTGTTGTGGGATGGGTAAGGGTTGTAGTAAACCTGCTAGAGACAAAGTTTGATATTTATTTTGTTGGCACACATCACAAGATGCCACAAAGGACTGAATGTCTTTTCTCATTTCCTCCCAATACACCAAAGCTGAAATTCTTTTATAAGTTCTAAAAAACCCAGAGTGACCACCCACCGCTGAAGCAATATTCTTTCAAAATGGTTGGTATCTTAGATGAATTCTTGGGCAACCAATTTTCCTTTATAGAAAAACTTCCTATCAACAAAAGTGTAACCTGGATGTGATTGAGAATGTTGAATCAAATCTTGAACGATACGGTTGAAGCCTTGAGTCAGCCTGCACCTTAGTTTCCCATTCTTCCAATTCCTAGAAGTGAACCATAGAGAGAGCACAAAAAGTCATTTTACGTGAAAACGCATCTTCAGCCCCATTATCACATCCTGGCTTGTAAACAATATCAAAATCAAAGCCCATGAGTTTGGAAGTCCATTTAAATTGCTCCTCTTCCAGAACACGTTGATCCATCAAAAACTTCAAACTTTTTTGGTCCGTTTGCACAATGAAATGTTGTCCCATCATGTAATGACGCCATTTTTGGACTGCCATCACAATGGCCATTAATTCTCTTTCATAAACTGACTTCCCTTGAGCACGATCAGACAATGGTTGACTCAAGAAAGTCACTGGTCGACCATTCTGCATCAAAACAGCACCTAAACCTTTGTTACAAGCATCTGTTTCTATCACAAATGGAAAACTGAAATGTGGAGCTGTGAGCACCGGTAACTCGGTCATGGCTGTCTTCAAAACAGAAAACGCAGTATGCTCCTCCTCATCCCAATGAAAATTATCTTTCCTGAGAAATTGGGTTAAAGGTCTTGCTAACTTACCATAATTCCTCACAAAGCGGCGATAATACCCCGTTAAACCCAAAAAACCTCTTAGGGACTTTAAGACCTTTGGGTGTTGGCCAAGTAAGCATCGCTTCAATCTTTTGAGGGCCTGCTGCCACACCTTGGGCTGAAATGATATGGCCTAAATAATCAAGTTGAGGCTGACCAAAAGTGCATTTCTTGAAATTCGCTACGAGTTGATTTTCCTTAAGAAGCGATAAGACAGCTTGAAGGTGACATTGATGATCCTCGTGAGTTTTACTGTACACTAAAATGTCATCAAAAAAGACCAAAGCAAACTTCCTTAAATAAGGCCGGAGGACTTCATTCATTAGTGCTTGAAATGTGGATGGAGCATTTGCCAAACCAAATAGCATGACAAGAAACTCATAATGGCCCTCATGAGTCCTGAATGCAGTTTTATGAACATCCTCTGGTCGCATCCGTATTTGGTGAGATCCTGATTTTAAGTCCAGCTTTATAAAAATAGTGGCCTCCCAACTCATCTAATAATTCGTCTATGATTGGGATAGGAAATTTATCAGGAACTGTGATTTATTCAAAGCCCGGTAATCCACACAGAACCGCCAACTGCCATCTTTCTTGACAAGAATGATAGGGCTAGAATACGGACTTACACTTGGACGTATAATCCCCGATTTTAGCATATCATCCACCAACTTTTTAATTTATGTTTTCTGATAATGACGGTATCTATAAGGCCTCAGGTTAGGAATGGTCGCCCTTTCTTTCAAAACAATTGAATGATCCTGAAATCTATGCGGGGGGCAGGGGGGGGGGGGGGGGGGGGGAGTCCTTGGACGTCAGTAAAGACTTCCGGATAGTTGTCCCGGTTCCAAAGACAAAGAAAGTACATAACATGTTAGTGCAACTCCTGAACGAGTGTCTTCAATGAAATGGCAGCTTTGGCTAATGTAGGATCTCACCGTAATACATGACAGCCCTCTTTTGTTGGTATTTGGAGAGTTAGTTCACCAAAATTTGCACGAATTTCGCCTAACTGAGCCAACCAATCCATTCCTAGAATTATATCAACTCCTCCAAGATCAAATACATAAAAGTCTTGTTGAACGACAAGGCCCTGCATCTGCAAACAGACAGCCTCACAAAGTCCTTCACAAGGAATTTTTCGACCATCCCCCACTTCCACCGTGCAAGCACGCGTCGTCACAACCAGCAAATCCGTTTCTTCCACCAAAATGGTTGAAATAAAGTTGTGAGAGGCTCCACAATCAATCAACACAATGACTTTCTGACCTTCTATCTCTCCCCACAATTTGATTGTTGTCTTGGTAGTAAAACCTGAAACGCTGAACATGGAAAGGTGCAGATTCAGGAATTCATTGGCTATTATGTCAACATTATTACTGTCAACAGAGTCAACCTCCTCTTTGATTAACAACACGTGAAGTTGTTTATTAGCACAAACATGTCCCGGTACAAATTGTTCATCACAACGAAAAAGGCCTTTGGTAAGTTTATCTTGCATTTCAGTATCAGAGAGCCTCTTAAAAGCCCTTCCTCGGTTGTTAGAAGGTTGTTTTGTGGTGATTTCTTGGGAATGGTTAATTGGAAGAGTTTTTGGGTGGGTTGTTTTGGCCGGGGGTTCCCAGGAAATGGTGCGATTTGATGGAAATGATTTTGTGGAATTTTGTGGTTTGTGGCTGCTCTCTGCAGGTTTGGATAATATTTTATTCCGATCATCAATGCATTGCGCAAAGTCCATCATCTCCGGCAAAGAATCAACAGGATGCAATTTCTATTCAGCCTTAATAACATCTTTCAAACCATTTAGAAAAATCCCTTTCAAATATTCAGGCTCGGCACTTCAGAGTGGTCCGGCATATAATTCAAATTCAGCCCAGAATTCTTCAATAGTACCAGTTTGTTTGAGACTCATCAAGAGTTCGTATGTGCTACTCATCGTCGTTGGTTGAAACCGCTTCAGTAGTGCAGCCTTAAAGTCCGGCCAAGTAGAATTTGGAGAAACAAATTCCCACCACTGATACTGATCTGACCTGATCAGAAATGGACCGTCACGGCTGGCTCCGAGCTGAAAGCTTTTTGAACGAGGTGGGGGGTACCTGCAAGACACTCCGATGCTGAAGTAAGTAGAAGCACGAGCAGGCAATAATTAAGTGTATGGGTAGAATGATGAATACCTGACCCTCTGGAAACAGAGGGTATTTATAGCCCCCAGCGCTGGGCCAAGGTTCCTTCATTGGGCCGGGCAGGTTTGGCCCAATGGAGGAACTGCCAGGTTCTACGTGCGTAGTGGGGACCCGCACGTGGTCCCCTTCCTGGATGTTCTGCGTGAAGTGCGGGCGGACGGAGAGCGGTCTTTTCGGGGCCTCGTTGGGAGTACAGTGGACTGAGTCTGCCCTAGTTGGGGTGCTCGAGGTGATGTCGAGCTGGACAGCAGGATGTCGAGCTGGAGGTGTAGAGGTCGAGCACGTGACCTCAGGGAGCACGTCGGGCACGACTGTGACCCTTTGGTCGGCGTGGTCCTCAGCAAGTCCATTTGGATTGGGCCTTAGCAATGCTTTTGGGCCTGTCGGGCCCAGTCCAGAACAGGAGCCCCCAAGTCGTGGTTCCTTTGTTAGGAGCCATGGCTTGAACTCAGGTCGTTTCCGCTTCGGGGTCTCGCGTCCGGGACAGAGATGCAGGCCCTCGAGGGCCTCTCCGTGCCGTGCTCGGAGACATCTTCCGCGGTGGATGCTCGGAGGATCCTCACCGGCGCGGGTCTGTCGAGCACACGAGGTATCTTTCGGGAACTGTGCCGCCACCCTATGATGATAAGGTCATCATTGCGTTGGGAGCAGTGCGTCGAGGAGAGAAACTCAGTGGTTGCCCGTGGTGACGTTTGGTATTCCACCTCATCACTATAAATAGGAACCTTGGGCCCCATAACACGTTTCTACTCTTTGCGCTCCTACTGCTGCTGTTCTTCCAGATTTTTCATAGCTGCGATCTTCTGTTACAGATTCTTTTCCTCCGTAGCCGAATCCACTTTTTGATTCAAGTAAGTGACTTATCTTCTTCATTTTCCTGTTGTAATGCATGATTTTCAGCATTTGTAGACGTTTTAGGGACTGTGCGCGTGGGGCTAGCCCGGTAAACTCATGCTTAGCTCGGCATATTCATGCTTAGGACCGGCAAACACATGCTCGTGGTCGGTAGATTCATAGTTTTAGGTAATAATCAGCAGCGCTGCCCGGGGTCTTCATGATCCAGGGCGCCTGATTCATGATCGCGCCCGGTATGTTCATGGTCCTGGCCGTAGGTCTCATGATGTTGCTCGCCATGTTGGAGAGTGGCCGCGTAGTCGATTTGGAGAAGAACACATCGAGCACCCCAACTAGGGCAGACTCAGTCCACTGCACTCCCAACGAGGCCCCGAAAAGACCGCGTCTCCGTCCGCCCGCACTTCACGCAGAACATCCAGGAAGGGGACCACGTGCGGGTCCCCACTACGCACGTAGAACCTGGCAGTTCCTCCATTGGGCCAAACCTGCTCGGCCCAATGAAGGAACCTTGGCCCAGCGCTGGGGGCTATAAATACCCTCTGTTTCCAGAGGGTCAGGTATTCATCATTCTACCCATACACTTAATTATTGCCTGCTCGTGCTTCTACTTACTTCAGCATCGGAGTGCCTTGCAGGTACTCCCCCCACCTCGTTCAAAAAGCTTTCAGAACGCCTTTCCTTCCATGGCAACCATGGCAGCCTGCACTTTTCCTTCTTCCAGAACGCCTTTCAACTCGAAATATCGCTCAACTCTATTGAACCATCCATACGCATCCTCGTCGTTGAAAACAGGGATGGACAGTTTCCTCCACCTTTCTTCTGGCGCACGATTATCATAGGGGTTTCCAGCGGTGAAGCCTCACTGGTTATTCGACGAAGTGGAACCGTTCCGGTTGGAAGACGCAAGCGTGAGGCCACGAACTGTCTCTTCCAATTCATGAATGCGCCGCTGGGAAATCGCTTTCTCGGCTTCCATGCTATGTTGCAATTCCTGAAAATCTGGACGAGAAGATGCCATTAAATCGCTATAAGCCTTCTCGAGAAATTCTAATCTTGCCTCCATCTGGAATCTTGTAAGTACCATGCACTGGATCGGTGCTACTGATACCAATGATAGGATCTGACAGAAAATGATAACTGCTACAACAGTTACAGTAGAAATGTCTTATTGCAGTAGAAACAGTTACACAGACACAGCAGTATGGTAACTGCCAATTTAAAAGAAATAACTGACACAATAATAACCAACCTCTAGGAATTATAGAGCCTAGTCTCTCCCTTGACCAAACCACAATTAACAACAACCCGAGGACCACTAATTGTCCTCCTTATTCTATTTAAAACATACTGAATAACATAAATTGGGCTAATTACTTGGGCTTTTGGTTTTACGCCTAGTATAGACAAACTTGATAGGAGGCCTACTAACACGTACCTGTCAGCATATCTTAATGTGTTGAGAGTATGCTCACATGAACCTGAGCTTGGAGAAATGCAAGATATCATTACAGTCCGTGAATCACCAACGAAAGAGTCTCGTAGAACTTCAGTCAATTTACTTCCTCTGAAAGGGATATGACCTTGGTCACTGTCTAGGGCTCTAATGCATTCTTTCAGTGCAAGTAAGCTTTTATTAATTTCAGCCCCTTCAATTCTGGAATTTAAAAATTAAAAAAAAGCAATCAAAAGTTAATTAAACCAAATGAGCGGATTTGACTGTTAAAAATCAAGTTAATTGAACCAAATAGACAATCTAAGATGCTACTTTAGAATGGTGATACACAAATACATTATTTGGTATGTCTTCCAGTTACTCAAATGAAAAGACCGAATAACAAAATTAGGAAAGGTATTGATGTAATAAATCGTAAACTTGATCAAGTAAGAGCATGTTTGGATTGGTTTATTTGAGTTTATCTACTGAAATAAGTACTTGTGCCTGCTTGAGAGATCTTATGGAAATAGTTACGACAGGTCTATAAGTTGTTTTCAGCTTATTTCCACAAGCTCTCCAGGATAACTTAAGAAAACAGCTTATTATTTGTACGAAAAATAGTTTGACTTTATTTTATCTTTTATCGTAGAAATAGCTTATACAATAAATGCTTGATTAAGTTGTTTATTCAAAATTGCCTAAGTCTCACCTAGTCTGCTTATCATTATCTGTAGTATCTGCACCCCGTTCACTTCCAGCCAGATCTATGAAAGATAGTTTGCCTACGACTCGAGTGGGCTTTGATTCAGACCCATCAGCTGATCTCTTGATAACAAGTTGAATTATAGCATGCGATCGAGAAGATTCCTCATTTGCACCGGTTGTACCAGTACTTCTTGAAGCATTTCCTTTCTCAATAAATTGCTTGATTGTTTCAACTTCAAATACTCTGTACTCCTGCAAGCCAACAATGCAAACCTGCTGTTTACCATCCTCCCTCATGCAAAGTTTTCTGCAAAACCATAAACCAATCAAACAAATACTCCAAAAGCAATATTTTTTTCTAAGCACGCAAATTGATATGATCACTTACTTTCTATCATTGAGAAGATCAAACAGTTTCCCCCCATATATTTCAAAAAAACTAAAGTATAATTGGAAACCTTGGCTCCGGTATGTGTGGTGCATTAATCTTAAAATATCTTGGGATGCTTTGAGAGGCAATGGTTGCATAGTATACGTTTTCCCACTCCCTAAAATACAGTAATTTCATATCAACAAAAAATTTCAAAGGGAGGTGAAAATCAAAGTAAATAGAAGATCATTCTGTTTACCGAACTGTGTCATGCGTATGCTCACAAAATAGAGAAAAACTTATTCACAATATATATCAAAACACTACTAATACTATTCCAAGTCACAACAAAAAAGATAAAAATATCTGAGTATGGACTGAAATTGGAAAAGAAAACCAAATACCACAGGTACTATCTAAAATGAAAGCATCAAAATGGAAATGCTTTCTGGAATTGAATAATCCAAAATTCCAAGTAAGTGCAGATTTTTTTCACAAGAAATTTTATCAAAATAAAAATCCAATAAAACTATATTATATATGTGTTGAAATTTTTGAGATTCAAGCCTCCAATGTAAGAAACATAGACATGATTTTGCAAACATGAAGCCTGGAAACACCCTTTTGGCCAGACAGTTGACCTTGCAACAAAATGATGACACTTTCATCATACTCTGTCCTTTAAACAAAATATAAAGCATCCAACATGGGTGAGGTCTAGGTTGCCTATGAAGAACTGGGGGTAATTTACCCAACACTCAATTAAAATTAGTTGAATGAGTAAATTTGTGTGATACCCACAAGCTAATTTTAAATTCACAAGTAAATTTAATGTGGCTAATTTTCATTGGGTGTTGGGGTAAATTACCTGCAATTCCTCAAAGGTAACCTAGAAAAAACCTCCAACATGGTTTAAACATGGATTTGACAAAAGCCATTTAAAATTTGAATGCGATAAACACACATGTAACTTGGGCCTTTTTCAAACTTTGAGTTTTTTAAATAATAAGAGAAAAATAAATGTGGCAGAAGTGATTATCAAGCCAGCCATTTTTTATAAAAAAACAAAATGTCCGGTAGAGTTTCAAATAATTTTAACAGATGATACATATCAAGATATTTTATTTACAAATGTAAATCTCGATAGTCAATATAGTGAGCTATAGCAGAGTTGAGCAGTTGTTGACCGCTATTGCAAGTTTGAAGCGGAGCAATATGCTAGTGATTTCCACACTCACTTCAGAAGCAATTATAAGGCTGGTAGCTTCGGCTAAATGCTTCAGAAAAAAGCATTGTTATATTAGGGACATTTAAGGTATGTTCTCATTTCTTGATGGTGTTGAGGTTTATACCTCAAGGCTGAAAACTGACATGTTCAAATTTCAATTATTATATATGAGACATGGATAAATAACTAAGAAATCACAAAACCTTCAAACATTACTTGTAAAGAATAATTGTTTTAAAACATTCAATGAATATTTGATGTTTTTATCCAAAGAAAATTGTGAATAGAATTGGTAGTAAGTCTTACATTTCTTAATTAACGATAACAAAAATACTTACTTACCGGTTTGGCCATAAGCAAAGCAAGTTGCTTTTGTTCGTTGGAATATCAATGGAACTATGGGCTCTACAGTCTCAGCATACACCTAAAAATAAGTAACTTTAGTGAAACAATTGAATCATCGGTCATTGTTGTTACAAGAACTGCCACTAGTTAAATACTCACTTCAACATTTGAAACATCTTCATCCAGCACAGCATCAAAAAAGAACCCGTGTTTCTCAACATATCCTGTCAAGTCAACCTGCACATGTGATTAGACATAGATCACTTTTTTTCCCCATATTTTCAAAGAATTATGCAGGAAATGATGAATGTTATTTTCATCACAAATCCTTCAAAACAGGAAACAAAAAAATATATAATAATAATATTTTGTAGTTATTAGTCAAAACATTAGATGAAAATGAAAAATGTTTTCACAAATTCAGCAAGTCCTACATGCATGGTGGTCAGCATTTGAAATTTTTCAAGTGTTAGAATCAATACAAAAGGAGATATTATGTTTAGTAATTTGGTAAATGACTGGTGAAAAGTACTAAGTAGTTTTATGTCAAAGAATTGCTTGCTAACTTCCGGAAAAGAAGTATAAGCTAATTGTGCGTTTGGAGCCGCGGTCAGATAGCTTCTGGCCCGTTCAAGCCATTCATCTATACCCGCTGCTACGCACGACCCAATAGGAATGATTTCAGAACCCCTATTATCTAGATAAGAAGCAGAACATGCCACCACCTTAAATCCTTTCCTCTGCTGGGGACTTCCAGGAGCATGGCCAACCTCAAGCTACTATTTGTAACTATTTTCTCGTCCAAAACAACATCAAGATGCAAGAAAGACGATCCAAACATTGACTAAGTAGTTTACTAGTTATTACTTATGTTTAACACATTCAATCCAGAGTTCAAATCATGAAATCCTAGTTTTACGACAACCTACCAAATACTCACCTTGAGTTTTCTTTCGTGTACTGTGAGAGAATTTGAATTTATTGTAATGATATCTTCTTCTTTCTTTGCTTTTTCTTTCTTATTCAGTGGTCTCTTCCTAACCTACAACAGTAAGCAGCACTCTTAAGTCTTAACCAAAACAAAACGCATATGCAAAAGGAACTAAAACAAAGGCCCTGGTTAATCAATTAAAAAATGAGGCATGAAAAGGAAACTTATGCAAGAAGCATACTGCAACTTTGATCTTAGCAACATTGTTAGCTCTCTCTTTATCAGCTGAGAAACTTCTAAGAATATTGCTCTCAGTCAAGCCCCGAGATCTTGGTGCGAGTTTGTTTCCGGGGAAAATCGGCTCAGACTCATCAAAATATTGTCCCTGAACAGTATAGCTCAGTCAAATATTCATTGTAAACAACATCACACATAGAACTCCAGTCACTGGTATTTTCATACAAATCATCATGGTAAATACTGCAAACTATAAATTACCATATGAAAATAGTTATAAAAAAATCATCATGGTCCCAAACTCAGATAAAAGGAGAGGGTAGTGTTAGACAGTCGACAGTCAACGTAAAAAAAAATTTGAATCTCTTTGACATGGATAAACTACGAAATAATGTGAATGCTAGGTTGTCGACTGTAAGCACGGCACTGTATGGCTCAAGTAGAGTGTTAAAAGAGCAAGGGCCGCTGCATCGCCGCTTGGATGCAGTAAAAAATAACGATTTGGACAAAAAGCATGATCCTGAATAGAACATTATGACAGAAGTTGATCCATGTAGTCGTCCCCGCTTAGTGGGATAAGGCTTGGTTGTTGTTGTTGAAACGTATAACTAGTTAAATATCACTATTTCAATTGCGGATAGCGGAAAATAGCGGTTTTTTCAAATTTTGCTACGCTACAGTGCCATAGTACCACTATAGTTGTTATTTGACGGCACTTTATTATAAATATTAGTGTTGTCTTTGTTGTTACAGTTTAGTGGTTTGCCTCTTAGGACATCATATATAGAATTCCGAATATAGTTTGAACTCGGACCACTACATTCATCCCTCCCTCTTCGCAAGTGTTTACTTGAGTATGTGTTGACCACTAGGCCAATAACAAAAAAAAAATTTGAAAAGTCATCTACTGAGAACACTGTTAAGCATTCATTGTGAACATCAAACATCTACTGAGAATCAAATTAAAACCCCCAGGCATTTGCATGTAATCATCATGTAAAATACCAAAAACCTAGCAAACTATGATTATCATATCCAATTCACCGAACTAACTCATCAATAAATAAAGATTATTAACATTTGATTATTCAAACATCTCAGATTAAATCAACAAGATGGAACTATAATCTATAAGCCTTTTAAACCTTAATTTTCCTATTTTTTTAAATAAAACCCTTCTTTGATTACAGAAAAAGCAAAATCCAAACACACACCAAACCTCAGGTAAAAGCTCAGTATCAAAGGAATGCAAATCAAGCAAGCCACTCATGAACACACTATCATCCTCGCTCTTCCTCAAACTCGAAGATCGCGTTCCAAATTCCTGCAGAAAACGGTTCAATTCGTACACACATAAACACCGATTATCCCGCTTATGAATTTTCATAGAAACAAAAAGAAAATCTCACATGTGCAAAAGCTGAAGGATGAAACCATCTTCCCTGATAATTTGCATCGAGGATGAAGTTATCAGAGCTTTGACGCTGGTGATGATGAACTCCTGAATTTGATCGCGGCATCGATTACCAAATTACCAAATCAAACTCATCCACAACGATTTTGAACAGAAAAATACACTGATTCTACCGACTTCTCTTTTGTTCGGAAATTTTTTTTCTCGGAAATGTAAAAGAGTGGAAGAAAACGAGAGAGTAAGAGAGAATTTGAGTTTGAAACTTGAAAAGGAAAGGCGAAAGTATGTGGAAAGTGAAAGAGAGCGGAAGCGCGTGTTGTTAACATGCAGTTTGAGAGAGGCGAGGCGCGTGTAGGGAATCCGTTGAATTTGAAAAATGGAAGAAAACTAATATTCCGCGGCTTTACGATTTTTGGACGTTAACCCGAATTGAGAATTTGAATATTTATTGACGCTCGCGTGTAGGCGCGTGGAAATACCCTCATGTCTGAAAATTGAATCGGTTATAGTAATAGCCTGGTGGACCAGGTTCCGTGTCGGGGGCATTTCTTCAATCGTTGGGGATAGTTCAATTTATAAACTTGGTAGTATTTTTAATGTTATAGCAAATTATAAATTGCATTAAATTTTGGATAGTTCGATTTTAATCCAACTACAATAAAGATTTCACTAATAAATCTGCACTACTATTTGTATCTATCTCTTTAATAAATAATTATAAATATAAAATATAAAATAATTTTATATTATCATTTAATAAAAATTCACTAATCAACTATATTACTTAATTAACTTAAAAATATTAAGATAACTTGAAAGTTATAAAATTATTTTATAATATTGATGTATATCTTTTTTTTTAAATAGAAAGAAAAAATATAATATATGATACAAAATTATTTTATTCTATTAATTAATGAATAATATGTTTTCTACATAATGATTTTTTATACTTTTCATGTATAATTATTAAACTCAAATAGAAATAAATAAATAAAATTAAATCAGCTCTAAATAGATAATTTATTCTTTTCTATAGATTTTTTCAGAAATTTTTGAAAATCAATAAATATTCTTCAAATTCTATGATAAAGTGTATTTCTTTTTAAGTTAAGTTAGAATTTTTTAATTTTTCAATTTATACATTTTTAGAAAATTTTAAAATAAAAATAAAAATTTTATAAAGTAATCTACATTAACGTCTAATAAACTACTTACTCTAATGAGTAATCACACATAAATTATTTAAATAATATATTAAATTAATATTTTTTTTTATTAGATGACAGTATAATTAGATTAGATTAAACTATTTACGTGTATTACCTTAATGAGTAATCACACATAAATTATTTAAATAATATTTTTTATTAGATGCCGGTATAATTAGATTAGATTATAATTTTTCTTTAACAAATTTAGACATATTAAATATTTCTAATTTTTATAAGTTATATTATTTAAATTTTAAAATTTAAATGTATAGTTTTGAATATTTAGAAGATGGTGTTTGAATTTTAAATTCCAAAAGATATTTTTAGAGTTTTGAAGAACTCTTGACCGAAACGTTGGAAAAGAAATCTTGTTTATCCTAATTGCATTATGCATGAATGAAGCAAATATTTCGTTGAAGATAATCTGATTTGTAGGCCACTAGGTCATCATGTCAGGTATATAGTTAAAATAGTCAAACTCAAATAGGTTTTTGGAGATATTAATTGGACTCACGTTTTCATGATGAGTGTGGCACCACTCAAATAATGCAAAATTTAATATAAATTACTGATACACGGTTCGTCTGCACGAATACTGGTATAGGCTGAATCGGATATATCAGAAAGATTTTGTATTTTCTCTAAAATTTAGAAGAATTTTATTTAAAATCGATAACATATATGTTTTAATGAGGAAAAGTAAAACAAAATAAATGTTCAAAGATAATGATATAATTAAATAAAGGGTTAAATATGTTTGTAATTCTTATAAATATCTTAAATTTCATTTTTAATCCCTATTAAAAAAATAATAAATTTTGGTCCTTAAAATTTTTTTGTTCATCCAGTTTTAGTTCCTGTTATTTTCTAAAATTTTAAAAACTATTTAATTACTCTTAAACTTTTAAATTTTTTAATAATATTTTTCATACGTGTTTAGAATATTATAAAATGTTTCTTTATCAGATTTTAGAATTTTTTAAAATGAGAAGAATTAAATATGATTTTTTTTTAATTTCGAAAGATATTTGATAAAAATAATGAAAATCTCGACTTAGAAATCAAATTTTGAATTTCTTTTTTTTAATGAACTTTTTATAACGTTTTAAACATGTCTACAAAATAATCATTCAAAAATACACATTGGTTTAACAACAGAGACTAAAACTACGTGCATAATAATTTCTTATGACTAAAACTTGTCATTATTTTAATAAGGACTAAAAATGAAATTTAATATATTTATAGGGACCAAAAACATATTTAATCCTTAAATAAAATTTATATCCCACGTAGAAAACATAAGTGAGAGTAATAGCTACAATTGAATAGTTATTATAACAAATAAATATAAATTAGAAACATTGGTTAATTAGTTGAGAGGAGTAATATAAAATAAAAATCATAATTTAATGGTATTAAAAAATTAAAGTGATATTAAAAATGAAAAGTAAAAAAAGAAATATGAAATATGCATATTAAGTACATAAGGTTGGGAATCAGAAACATTTGAAATGTCAATTAAAGTTATAAAGGAGACGACACATACTGCTCATTCTCCCATCACAAACTTTGAAACCAAACTGAACTGATTCTCCAAAAAACTCATTCACATACCATATTCAAGCATTTCCTCTGCTCAGTAACAATGGAAGGACACTCTTACTCCAAGACAGTACCCAACATCGAGGAGAATCTATCACGATAAGAAGCATGATGTTGTCGGTGTTAACTCGTGTAGTGTTTTTTGTATGCGTGGTCCATTTGAAACTAAGATGCAGTTGCATGCGTTTTTTGACGCTATTGATTTATTTGAGTAACAGGTAGGGGTTGTTTTGGGGTTCATAAACACATAAACATGATGTTTTATAAATTAGAGACGTTTTTGTTAAGTCATCGTATGATTTAGGGTTTATTTATCTTTGCATGGTTGTTGATCATTTAGTCTCATATTCACAAGTCAACGTATTTCGTTTTACAGAATTCATCTTGCAAAGGATGAGCAGGATCTCTCCCAAAAATGCATGTGTAATGACATCAAATATTTGGCTTTTGAGGAGTCGCAATCTGTGAAGAAATGCAAGACAAAGTTGAGTCATGGTGAAGAGGCAACCAAGGGCAACACTCAAGTTGGGGTTGTACCTGAAAAGGGGTAGGGGAAAACAAAAGTAGGGGATAATGGTGAAGACGCGGGGGGTGTGGGTGAAAAAGGTAAGGGAAAAGCTTTGGATTCTGGGATTGCGGATGGTGTGGAAGGCCATGATGATCACGAATACTAGTGCTATCATACGATAGTGAAAGGTAGTTGTCATTTCATTATTATGCAACTGGTTAGTTAGCTTTAGATGTATAATAGGTTGGAAAGCAACCCAGTATGTTTAAGTAAGTTCATTTGTTTTATTGAAATATTGAAGAGTATATTCTCCTATATATGAGGAACATTTTGAAGAGAACTGGAGTAGGGAAGTAACTGATCCTAAGAAGTTGAGCTCGAATGTGCTTGTAAGTAATGTAGGCTTCCATTGGTGTAGGTTTCCATTGGTAACAATGGAATTATTTTATTAGATGTAAATGTTATTTATATTTTTTACATGTGCAATAAACTCTCAAACATGTAATCAAGAATTGCCTTCATGGAGGAAATAGATCCATCGTACTTTACGAATCTGACAAAGTTGTTCCATACTAATGTGATTTGAAAAAAAAGGAAAGGGGTGTGGAAAGATATCTTTTAGGTGAGTGGTATGACTTTGCAAAAGATGTGCATTTGAAGGTAGGTGATAAATTGCATTTTTGCATTTGTTATCCTCCTGTGGATGAAATCTTGGGTTCAGTGGAGCGTGGCAATGCAACTCGAGGATGGCGTTGATTGTATGTTGTTGTGTACGTTGATGGATAAAAGTGTGAAGGCTGAAGGTTGAATTTTTGGTTATCTTTTTGGAAGTAGTTGAAGTAGTAATTGTAGTTTAGATGATGGTTAAAATTATCATGTGTTTTAGTTTAAGTCAATATGTTTGGACTAAAGTTATCTACGAAAGTTGTAATGTAGTTGAAGTCTGATTTACATTTTGGTTGTTAAATATCTGAATGTTGGTTACCATTATGTTATGTTGTGGACACATTTGAAAGGCTCTTGTAGACCATTAATGTATAAGTGAATGCTTTGTATAATTATGTAATGTTACATTAGTGATCCACTGTGTTATATTATTTATGTAGACCAAATGGATTGTATACTTCATGTTTTATGTTACACAATAATGGCGCATGATAGTCAGCCTTGCCATAATAAGTGTTTTTCTGCATCATAGCATTATAGTTGAGTTGGCATGTAGAAGTTAAACTACTATCTGGTCGGACCAGGCTTTAGTAACTTTTGGGGATAGTAACAACTCCGTTGGGGATATCAATGACTCTACCAGGAATTAAAGGGTTTTGTCTGTTAATTTGTATTGGTCTTGGGGATTCGTAGTTTGTTGGGGAAATAAACCCATTTGACAATCTGCTGGGGAGGTGTTTTCTTCTAGAAGAACTCCTCAAGGCTTCCTCTTAAGACCAATTCAGCTGGGGAGAGGTTTTTCGGAGGTTGAAACTCTGGCTGGGGATTGCCTGGACCTAACTTTGTGGGGATATCCATGAATTTGGCCTTGTGGGGTTTGTACCCTTATCCATGACGATTATTCTGTGGGGATAACCTTATAGAGGTGGCTCTGGTGATTTCACTGGGGATCATCTTATGAAAGGGGCTTGTGGGGATTTATCGTTGTCCATAGTAGTAAGTGTTGTAGCGCTTCCAGACAATGTGTGCTTGGTCGTACGTGACCTTTTGCTGGAATTCATGTTCAATGCCCCAAGTGATTTAGATGCAGACCTGCCCTGGTTATTCAGCACTTCTTGATAGATTTTTTGGAATCTCGACTTGACTGCCACAGATGGGTTAGACTATAACATGTCATGCCCCCTTGATTATGGGAGAGTTTGTAATTGGAAGTGTTTTTCCATTTGAAGTGATTCTGTTTCTTGAGAGGATTTTCGTTCATTGGATATTCGTCGTGGGAATTTCTCTGTTGTCAAACAAATAGCTATATGCAAACGGCGGTATTCAAAATAATGCATAGTTTATGTTTATCTTGAAGTTTTGAAAATGCATTTTTAGCAGATAAAATAATTTTGTAAGAATATGAATTCAACTCGGGATTTACAATAAGCCTTACAGGAGTCAGGATACCTTTTGTAACAGTATGCTTTCGAACTAACCCATGCTTCAATTAGGACTTTTAAAGGGTTGTAACATGGCCTGGTTCACGGTTTTAATAAATAAAGGATAAGGCTCAAAGTTTATTTGTACCCGCCCGTTCTTGATGATGTTCTTCAGTCCTATACTCAGTTAATTGTGCATTTTAAATTCCAATTGAGTTTGGAATGACATTTTGGTGATGGTTCGGATACTGAAAGCTTATTGGTGAAGGCAGTAATTTTTGCAACATTTTTCATGTTTGTCGATGATTTATAGCGCCCTCTTTTTGATTTACTGTCCCTAATTTTTGCCTGACTGTTCTTTTTTTGAGATTACAGCCAGCAGGATGCCCCAGTTTTTCTTAAGTCTTCTTTGTAGGTTTTGACTCAATGGGATTTTATTTTGAGAGATAATGACTGCCTATTTTATGGGGAACCATCATTGTCTTTTGATTCAGAAGGATGTTTTGATGTCATTCGTTATGTATGAAGTGAAAGTTTGCGACTGAACGCGCATTTGAATTAACTAAGAAACTACCCTACCCCAGGTTCTGATTAAAAGTTTCAGTTTGTGTGAAAAAGAAAACTCCTACTTCTTTGGCTCAAAGGGGTTGACTATGGATTATCTTCCTTATAACTTCAGTGTTTAGGAATTTGAAACAACGCCTGTACATTGTCAGCAAGGTCTATCCAAAAGCATAATGTATGAGATTATGGTATTATTTTTGTTATCCTCCCTCTAAAGGCTTACAGCTTGTAATTGAGAGTTGAATATCACGAAAAAAAGGGAATAAAAGCACAGTTTAAATATAGTGAAAACGAATGGATTAATTCAAGACAAACATATGTAATGCATTAATGAAAGTAACCAAAGTCTGACATAAAGATAAGTGTTTAAACAAACAAAGAAATTACAATTGAAAATTCAAAATGAATTAGACGCTCAATGATTTGGCATGGGAGCAGTGATCACGTTGGGAGTTTCAGGAGGACCAAATTCAATCTCCTTGGCATCAATCATATTTTGAATCTTGTATTTAAGCGCCCAACAATCGTTAGTATCATGCCCAAGACTGCCGGAATGATAGGCACATATTGCATCGGGATTGTAGTTAGGAGAAGAAGTTTTGGGGTTTGGATGAGGTCCTATCAACGTAATCAGATTCATCCCCAACATGTGTTGCAATGCTTGAGACAGTGGCATGTTGATTTTGGTAAACTGTCTCTTGGGCTCATCTTGCCTTCGTTGATTTCCTCGTTGTTGTTGTCACATTGATGCGAGACTAAAGATCAGGACTGCCCCCATATATTGGTCGTGGTTACTCTTGTTACGACCTTTTTAGCCGTACACAGCATTGGACTCTTTCTTCTCATTGTACGGCTTCTTCTGAGTATCAGAGGATGTAACCCCTTGGATCTTTCCGCTTTTGATTCCATTTTCAACTTGTTCCCCAGTTAGAATCAGCTAGGTGTAGCCGGCCAAGGAGCTTCTGATTAGGTGATTGAAGAAAGATTCTGTCAAAGTTCCCATAAAGATATCAACCAGCTCCCTGTCAGTTAAGGGTGGCTGCACCCTGCCATCCAGGTCTCTCCATTTTTGAGCGTACTCTTTAAAGCCTTCATTTAAACTCAAGGTCATATTTTGCAACTGCACACGAGTTGGTACAAGATCAGCGTTGTATTGGTGTTTCTTGTAGAAAGCAGTAGCTAGATCCTCCCAGGTGTGGATATTGGTCCCTTCCAATTGGTAAAACCACTCCAACTGCATCCTAGATAGACTCTCTTGGAAAAGTGCACCCATAGTTTCCTATCGACGGTGTGCCTGAATTTTACGGACATAGGATTTTAGATGAATCCTCTGACAGGAGACCTCGTCATACTTAGTAAAAGCAGGAATCTTGAATTTATGGGGAATGACCACCCCAGGAATCAAACCCAAGTCTCCAAAGTCCAAGCCAGGCACAACTTGGATCTCCACAACTTTTAGTCTGTCTTCAAGATGTTTGTATCTGTCATTGGCCGGCGGGTACTGCTCCTCAGAATAGTCTTTGTCCTTAGTAGCTTGGTTATCCCTAGCTTTAGTGCTTCTAGCTTCCTCTTCTTGATTGTCTTCTTCCTCAAAAGAAGCATCTTCTTTTTGAGCTAGTTGGGCAGGGCCCTTAAACCTTCTTCACATGTTAAGGATGGCATCCTTCTTCTTAGTCTTCTCCTTGCTCCCTTTGGTGAAGAGTGCTTTTAGATCTTCCTGCCCCTTGGCTAAGTTCAGGAGCACTTGTTGGAACTGGGCATTCTGAGCTTGGAGATCTTTAACTGTTTGTTCTAGAGTCATTTTCTTACTGAAATAAACAGCGAGAAAAATGAGAAACTTGTCTTGAGAATACATGTTATGTAATGACATGCATGATACATAAAAATGAAATGTTTTCAAGGATCTCGCGAGGTAAACACAAGAAGATGTTAGAAGTTGAACTTTGATCACAACTTTGATTAGATAAATTCGTATCGTTGGATGTCCTTCCACGAGAATCAAGCTCACCATGTCAAGTGGGTCATAGAACTTGACTCAAGTTATCGTGCTTTGGTCTTTGACAGCATCTGGTTAGAGGAGAATAAATCCTCTTGACCCTTGATAGACGCCTGGTTCATCATGAACCTGCACCACAGGCCCTTGAGATCCTTGAAAGGGTTATATATAATGCTATGGTATGATGTCATGATGTTATGTACAAGTAATCATACACACAAAGCAGACAAGTCCGTAGGTTTAGGCTTGCATGGAGTCATAGGTAAGTACTCTCTTGAAGCTTAGTTGGTTCAACCTGTCCTAGAAAGTAACCAAGTTCTAGAGGATCTCAAAATCATTGATCTTTCTTCATCGGGAATTGTTTCACGCAATCCTCATTATTGGCGATCGAAATATCCCGAAAGTCCAATCTCAATGAGCGTAGCATCGAGTATCAACCAACTTCAGACTACACCAAAGCCAACTATCTCACTACTTCCTAATGGCCAAGTTGTTCAATTAAAGGTTCTAAGGTCAGTTAGTGCTTCATGACACCACACAGCGGCCCCGTATTCTCCTTGATTAAACTCAAGGGCTACCGGTACGAACAAATGTGTCACACTAACGTAGCCATCTCTTCAACCATGTCGGTATACCCCGCACAATTTCCATAATATATTGCTACTTACCTAATGGTGTTCCCCGATCCGGGTAGAGGATCAATACAAACCCAAACAAGGACTCATAAATGTAAAGTAATTAAACAAGAAAAATATACTTTTGTATTTTATTTTATATATATTTTTTAATTGATAGAAATCAAAATAATTAAACAAGATAATATAATATAAACAAATATAAAGGAAAATATAGAATGGGCCTGAAAGAAGAAATTGAAGGGGGTGCTGAAAGGAATTTTTTTCTTAAGCCCAAGGAAAAAAATCCCACGACGTTGGATGGGGTATGTGGGATCCAGTGTGGCTGCTCCAAGAAGTTCAGCGTGGGTGTGTAGCTTCTGGGTGTTGGATGATGACCCGCCCGATCCTGTAGGTGCGTCTCCAGAAAGGATCACCATGGTCTTTCAATTCTAGTAATTTGATGACCATCTCAAGGCTACGGACTGAGGGTGCTCTGTAAGTCTGTTGGAGGCATCACATGGGATCCATGATGATGATCAATCAGACGGTGACAACTATTATCGCCTGATTAGGCCCTGTAAATAATGCTTTTTAACAAAACAAGCAAGTTAATCATAATTAACACAAACCAAATAAGTTTCCTCTCTCTGTTATACTTTCTCTCATGGTCCTTATTCTTTTCTCTCTATATTTCTTCAAACACAAACATTAAAACAATAAATAAAAAGAAAAGAAACAGATCTACAATAGTTGAGCTAATGAAAATTAACGGTGGCTTCGATGAGGAATTATGGTGGCTATGATGAACATACGACAACAATGATGAAGATCAACAATGGCGCTAATGAAGGTGATGGAAGTGCCGCTGTCGATTGCTTCAATCTCAACTTTTCTTGTGTATTCTTGTTCGCCTCCTCCTTCTGGACACGAATCTGATGTCTAATTTTGTAGATTCTAAGTAGCTTGACGTAGATCTTGAAGGGAGTTTTGAAAACCATAGGTGTTCTATGAAGGTGAGACACGGTGACGATGATGATAAATGGAGGAGGTGTCGCTTCTTAGCTTGCTCGGTGAGATCTCTCCGACTTTGAATTTGTTTCTCTGTAACATATACTTTTCCTTTTCTCTTTCTCGAATTAAAATCCTGAAGGGTTTGGGATCTGTGGAAAATGATGAAAGGGTTTTTTTGGGGTTGTTGTGGTTGTTGTGCAGCTTTTCTTTATGTGTATATCATTCCCCCTGATTTCAATGCAATTGAATGGTTTTATAGCTGGGATATTTTAGGGTTTGATTGTTGTTTGTGAGTTTACTGAGATTTGTTTAACATGCTTATTGATTTCGTTATTGGGCTTTGCAATATTCCGATCTATTATTAATTTTTCTGATATCTGATATTTATTTGTTTTTATAATAATTTATGATATTCTCTTTCCTGAGATGTGATCTTGTTGCTTGTTGTTGGGCCCTGATTTCTGATACGTAACTTATTTTGTTGGATCTGTGATGTTTCTGATGTGTGATAACAAACCGTTTGCTGGGCTGGACTGTTGTAATTCTGAGTTTGTTTTATTTTCTGATATATGCCTTGTAATGTTGTGATGATGTACTGCTGAGCTTTGTTGCTTGCTGCATCTGTTATGTTGGGCCAGAAATGTGATGGGGCTTTTTCTGAGTTTACGATTCTGATTTGGGTCTCTTTGATTTTGACTTGCTTGCTGAAAACCAATTGCTGAGTTGTGAAATTCTTTTGATATATCACTTCAATTTTGTTATCTTGGGACTTAGATGCGATTTTTGCTTTTTGGTTGTTGGGCTTAGCTATTGTGATCTCAGATTTTCTAGTTGAGATATGAACTTTGTTGCTGTCTTTTGCTGCGTTTTAACTTCCTTTTGTGAACCAAAAAACCTTTTTGTGATTTTCAATTGGTCGAGTAGGCCTATGATTAAATTGAAATCTGATTTGTGTAAAAAAAATTGTTTATGAGGCTTTGGATTTGGCTTAACACTTGATTGAAAACCAAACCTAAATTCTAATTCCTTTACAAAACCCTAATGATGAATCTTGGAGAGGAAATTCTTCTTGGAAAATTCTTTATTTTTGTTCAATGTTTCTTTGCTAACTGTATCTCTTTCTTGTTTTTTTCATGTGAGCTTGAGAATGGTGATGAGGGAAGATGAAGAAGATGGAATGGAGCTTGACATAAAGAAAATGAAGACCAAGAGCTTAAAGAAAAGAATTTAGTTCATGGCTTCACAAGAAGCTTAGGACTTTTGTGTAATTTTCCTCATGTAATAAAACTTGCAATATTTTAGGATGGAATCTTCATTACAAATCAAACTTGTAACCTAAAAATTGATGTAATAATCTTATCAATTTGATAAAATTTGAATGTCTTTTTAAGCTTTGAGAAATTTTCAAATCCTTGTATCTTGAAGCTTGGACAATGAATGATGTTTTAAAAAGTTTGAAACTTCTAAATTAGCTTGAATGAATATATGGGATGATATTGATCTTGGATAAAGCTTGAAAGAAAAAAATTGAAATGATGCACTTGAAAAAATATGAATGATGAATGGACTTGAAAACCATGAGACTTTGATGAAGGTTGCAGTGGGTTTGTGTAGCAATTGAAAAGAGGGTATGAAATGTTGATTGAAGGTATCAGTTGTGGTGATGAAGATGTAATATGTGGTTCTGTTGAGCGAAAGTGAGATATGAGGTCGATGGTGAAGCAAAAGGCGGAGGGAGTACTGGAAAGGATTGGTGGTGTATGTAAATGGTGATTATCTATTTTGAGTTTTGGAGAAGGTTGGACAAATATTACTGCATAATTTCTCTAATTTTTGTGTAGTTTCTATTGTTTTCACTTCTGGTTTTTTCTTTTTTGTGTCATTGTTTGTGCGTTTTCATCTGCGCTTATTATTATTATTAATACTTCTAAACATTTCTAAATATCAATAAATTGCAGCAGCTCCAGAATACAGCAAAGTGATAAATCAATCATTCATATGGAATAAAAAAGTGGTGCAAAGAGAAGATTCAAGCATGTAAGTGATGTTGTTGCGCAAATGAATCTAATAGATACTAATGTATCTATGAGAAAATTATGCAGAAGTAATAGAGATAAGAAATACCTATCGGAGTCTCTCCGATGGAACTTCCAAAATAGTAAGTTCTCCTTCCCTCTCTTGTTGATGCTCAAGCTTCTTTAGCTCTGGTTCTTTGCTGTGATTATTTAACAAATTTCTCCCCCTTTTTCTCTGTTAATGAAGGTGGCCTTTTATAGTGAAATATGTCGGGTTTTAGGGAGGGATAATTGGAAAATTTTGAATAGTTATGGACACTGATTCAATGCTTTTTTGAGACAGGTTTTGATGCTTGCCATTTTAATGCAATTTTAGTCTTATTTTATTTGGTATTTCTATGCAGGTTGGAGCAAGGAAACAGTGGCATATCAGACTGTTTTTTTTGGACTGGTTTGTAGGCTGTATTGGACTGATTTATAGCAATTTTTTGGCAGAATTTGGACTGATCTGCTTGGTTGCTTATGCAGGACAACAACAAATAAATAGCAGAGTTTTTGGGCCATTGCAGGCTGCTACTTTTGGACTGGTTTGTAAGGAGATGCAACATGATATTGGGTTGGTTTGAATTGTTGGACAACAAGGTTTTTTAGGCAGGGTATTGGAGCAAGATTTGAAGCTTTAAAAAATAACATTAGGTCTAGAATTTAACTTTTTTATGTAACATGAATGGAAACTTTTCTTGAATATAATTTTCTCTCAATTCCTTTGTAATTGTAAACACTTTGGATCATTTGAAACTTTGAATCTTTATATTCGTCTTGATGAAATTAGAAATCTTCCACTTGAATTTGGAAAGGATTTGATTGATACTTGAATGAATTTTTGAATAATGAATGAACAATGATGCATGCCTTAAGACCTCAATCTTACATCTTGTATTCGTTATTAGAGATCCAAATGAATTATATGAATTGATCTTGTAATGAAGTTGTAATCATCATGTATTTGTTCTTGTGATAAATGACAATTTTGAATCAAGTTTCTCTTTTCAATATCTCCTTTAATAAATGTCTCACGTGAATTCAAATGGCCATGGTGTGAATCCATCAAAGTAATCACATAAAACGGTCAATAATGACTTTGAGATACTTGTCTTTCAAAAATGAAACATTTCTTTGGTTGTAACTTGAAGAATTATAAAAAATGTAACAAGTCTTGAATTTAAATGCGACTTGAAATACTTCATTTGAATTTGGAATGGATTTGTCTTCAAATTTGGAGTCTTCCATTTAAAATGGAATTAATCTCATGCCTTGAATGACTTTGAAATATCGTGCCCTTGAAAATAATCTTGAATAAATACAATGTGAGGAATGATTTGAATCTCGAATGAGCCCTTTTGATAACTTCTATTTAGTTAACACTTGAATTCACATGATGAAAACTCCAAGTATTCTAAATAAATTCTTCCAAAGCGATCTTGAATTCAATCACCCACTCTAACGAAATTCACCCCGCGTCATGTAAGTATAAGAAATTGAACCATACTTAAAAGCTTCGAACGATCACTAGAAGAGAGATTTGAGGTGAAATGTTATCGCATTGAGATTTTGACACAATGAACTGAACTTAGAGATCAAGAAACTCTTAAATAATGACCAACGTCCTATAAAGTCTTTTTATGGCTTTCTAAACGCAATTTGTCTTCAACTTTTAAATAAAACTTGCAGATGACTTTTGGTCGAAGTGCTTTGAATTAACTTGCATAGCCTGATCTTTTCTTTTATTTCAAGGCAAGGTAAAACACACGTGAACCAGTGGTAATGGAACCTTGACTGTTTTTTGAAGAATTTTGGAGAGGATTGAGTCCACTTGTTGAACAGAGCATGGAAATAAACACACAATTCTCAGAAAGTTCCCCGAAAAAAGCTATCACACTTAAGACATCCGTGATCAAAATAATCCAGAACGATGTTCGAGACTCTAAGATCTGAGATTAGAAATTATGCCTTGATGGATCAGTCTTCGAGGATCAATGATCAATTGTACTTCTGGCTTGAGAGACTCAAAACCCTAATTGAGGCCTGAAGCTTGATACTCTTGATTCAGACCTGTTTCTGCACATGAAATCAAAGAAACAAAAAAAAACATATGCTTCGTGCTTGATTAGAAGTTAGTCATGCATAAGATAAAATGCTAACAGCACTCGATAATCTCTGCACAGGTAATGCTTGAAGGTGATAAGTTCAAAACCGACCATATTTCATGACCTTGATGTATATAAAAAATGCAAATGAAGTTGGGATCTTAGGTCAAAAATTTGGGTATGACATGCATGTGAGTATGGAATGTTGTATTCTCATAGCTCAAATCTAGGGCTTGTGGGATAATATGATGTTGATTGGGCTAGTAGTGCTGATGATATGAAGATTACCTCTGGTGGATGTTTATTCTTGGGAAACAATTTAATTTCATGATTCAGCAAGAAACATAATTGTTTATCTCTATCTACAGGTAAAGATGAGTACATTGCTGCAGGAAGTAGTTGTTCTCAACTTTTATGGATGAAACCAATGTTATTTTCATACAATGTCACACAAGACGTCATGACATTATTCTGTGACAACTTGAGTGCTATTAATATTTCCAAAAATTATATTCATCATAGTAGGACTGAGCACATTGATATCAAGCACCATTTCGTTACAGAACTTATTGAAGATAAAGTCATAACACTTGAGCATGTTAGCACTGAAAATCAGCTTGCTGATATTTTTACTAAAGCTCTAGATGCAGTTCAATTTGAAAAATTGAGAAGATGGCTTAGGATATGTATCTAAGAGGACTTATAACAATTACTTCTATTGTTGTGGGCCAATGAAACTCTTCAATCATACCACCTACATCCTGATATTTTATTGGCTATGAATAGTGTTAAGAAAAGGGAATCTTCTTTATCTTTGCATTATAGATTATTTAGTGGAACACATATTCCATACATTATTGTGATGTCTTACTAGGTGGAAACCCTGCTGACAAAAGTAATGATGTTATTGTTGTTGGTGAAATTGTTGCATTTACTGGTGCTGATGCTGACAAAGAAGGAGAAGAGAATGAGATTGAGGCCGATGCATGATTCTTTCCCGTAGATATTTTCTCTGGTTTAGATAAGTCGCTCAAAGATTTATTCTGATTCTTTTCCAGACCTCTGCTGCTTCAGTTAAAATCTCTCAACACTTTATCCTGATTCTTTCCTATAGACGCTTTCTCTGGTTCAGATAAATCGCTCTAAAATTTATTCTGTTTCTTTTCCAGATCTCCACTGGTTCAGTTTAAATCTCTCAACGTTTTATCCTGATTCTTTCCCGTAGATATTTTCTCTGGTTCAGATAAGTCGCTCCAATATTTATTCTGATTCTTTTCCAGACTTCTGTTGGTTCAATTTAAATCTATCAACGGTTTATCCTGATTCTTTCCTGCAGACGCTTTCTCTGGTTCAGATAAATTGCTCCAAGATTTATTTTAGTTCTTTTCCAGATCTCTGCTGGTTCGGTTTAAATCTCTCAATGGTTTATCCTGATTCTTTCTCGTAGAATTTTTCTCTGGTTCAGATAAGTCGCTCCAAGATTTATTCTGTTTCTTTTCTAGATCTCTGCTGGTTCAATTTAAATCTCTCAACGGTTTATCCTGATTCTTTCCCGTAGATATTTTCTCTGGTTCAGATAAGTCGCTACAAGATTTATTCTGATTCTTTTCCAGACCTCTGCTGGTTCAGTTTAAATCTCTCAACGATTTATCCCGATTCTTTCCTATAGACGCTTTCTCTGGTTCAGATAAATCGCTCCAAGATTTATTTTGATTCTTTTCCAAATCTCTGCTGGTTCAGTTTAAATCTCTCAATGATTTATCCTGATTCTTTCCCGTAGACATTTTCTCCGGTTCAGATAAGTCGCTCCAAGTTTTATTCTGATTCTTTTCCAGATCTCTGTTGGTTCAGTTTAAATCTCTCAACGGTTTATCCTGATTCTTTCCCGTAGATATTTTCTATGGTTCAGATAGGTCGCTCCAAGATTTATTCTGATTCTTTTCCAGACCTCTGCTGGTTCAGTTTAAATCCCTCAACGATTTATCCTGATTCCTTCCTGTAGACGTTTTCTCTGGTTCAGTTTAGATCTCTCAATGGTTTATCCTAATGCTTTCCCAGTATACGTTTTCCCTGGTTCAGTTTTAAATCAACCAAAGATTTATTCTGATTTTTTCCAGTTAAAGATTATTAAAGACTTCAGCTAGGTTTAGTTTTAAATCGACAAAAGATTTATTCTGATGCTTTTCCCAATTAAAGTCAAGCTTATACTTTGTCTAATCTCTGTCAATAATCACCTTTGGATGGCATCTATAAGCCCATCTCCGCTAGCTCTCCATTATTTCTCCAAATGGCATCTTTAAGCCCATTCCTCACACCTAAACCACAATATCAAGTGCAAATTTCTGGGCACTCTAGTGTTCAATCATATTCCACCTTCAAGTCAGGAATGGTAGATTCGCCAATCTAACTCTTCAGGTTTAAGAAGATTTAACAGGGGCAACTGTTGTACCCCAAAATTTTACCTCTCATTCCTCAAGACAATTCTCACAAAGGACTCCCAAAATCCAAGCTTACACAAATATGTTTGGATTTTTCAGCATTAAGATTAAGGAAGAAATTGCTAAAAAAGGACAAAACAAATGAAAATGCTCTTTTTGACAAAATTAAAGGAAAAGCAAGTTCCTTTCAATTTTGCATCCTTCGATTGGACACTTTGGCCTTGGTTGCATCTTTTGTTTGGGCGCTGGATTCCTTTGATGCAAGTTTGTTTCATGCTTCGATTGAGGCATTGGACTAATTTGGCTAAGATCATTTCCTGTTTCATTTTAGTGCTAGACTTTGCTTGAATGTCTGTGTAAATCCTTCGTTTGGCCACACAACATTTCCATGTGTGTTAGACAAGACATACAAGGCAAAATTCCTTACCATGTTAACATGCACAACTCCAAAGTCACCCTTTTAAACAACTTGTTACAAGCTTCGACAGGGTAATACTTCCCATCAACTAGCTTTAATTCACAAGGCAAAAGGCCCCCAGATGATATCCTTCGATTCAGGAGACCAAAGCCTCTCTTATTCCCTCTTTAGATTGCACATCTTACCCCCTGCAAGCCTCCTTCATTTGGGGCAATGGCCTTCCCAGTATTGCAAGCTTCAATTGAGCCTTTCATCCCCTGCATACATCCTTCGTTTGAGTGTGTGAATCCTTCAGCACAAGTCTTTAGTCATGCCTTTCGTTTGGGCATTTGGCTCCCCTTTTACAAGCTTTCGTTTGAACATATTTTCATAAGGTCACAAGGCAGGAACCTCCGGCATACCCTCTTTTGGTTGGCCATATGGCCCCTTTGCAAGAAAATTTGAGCGGGCAGGATCTCCTGTGGAAATGGCCTGCTTCAAACACACAAATTCTGCACTATGACATTGCCTCATGCGAAGTACCATGGTGGTGCATTCAAAGGGCTTTCCAGGCATGTCTGGATGTCCCAATTGAATGACACGTGTTAATGACCCATCCCAAGAGCATGCATTTGGACCGTTCGAAAGAACCCATGAAGGGCCTGGTCGAAAGGCATTAATTTGGCCCCTTCAAAGTATATCCATGTGAGTCATTCGAATGACACTTCGATTTAAAAAAAAGAGATGGTTGTTGAAGAGTCTGGTCGAAAGGCAAGGCTAGGGGGTCAAGAAAAAAGGTTGAGATGCCAAAGGTATTTGTTGACCAAGTCCCATACACTGCCAGCCTCAGGCCTGATACACTGGCCATAAAACTCCAAAACTGCTGCACAGCAGTCCTGCAATGCTGCCTTATTCCTTGCACTAAAATGGTAATAAAACACCATCCCTCGAAAGCTACAAATACACCATACCCTTTTTGTTTGAACCTTTTGTTTTCCCTCCCAAAGCATCGTCCCAAGCCATCTATAAATAGGAGACATCACCACACATGTTGGAGGCGCATGAAGGATTGCAAGAAAACACTTGTGAAAATTCTCAAAAAAATTCTCAAACACTTCCCAACTTTCTTTTTCAAACACTTCTATACACTAAGAAAAAACCTTCGATTCACCCTCCAAGTGACCATCAAACTACCCTTAGACCAACTCCCACAGCTACCATACAGTAGGCCTTTGAGCTATTCCATCACTTGTTAAAAAAGAGCTTTAGATCCACTCACATAACCTCTTTCGATCCAGTCACTGCTTTCACAAAGTAGCAACTGGACTAGCCTCAGGAAGGCCCCAACGAACTCCCATTCTCCTTCAAAGAAAGCACTTGCATATTCCTTCGATTTAAGGACTTCAAGAGGTAAGTTTATTTCAAACTTGAGTCTATTCTATTTTAATATCATGTGCACATGCCAATAAAGAAAAATGTAGATATTTCTAGACCATGTTTTAGCTTTCGATTCTGACTGCTTGTATGTTGAAAACTCAACCCTAATTAGTTATGCTTTGGACTTTGAGACCCATTAGTTTTTATGCTAACCCCTGGAATGTAGTTATGTTGGATATTGCATTTTTTAAATTTAAGATAGGTTCATTATACCCTTCGATTGGCTAGCTGCACAAGCCTTTCGAATCACAATCTAAGGGTCCAATATGCTTACAAAGAGTCAGCAAAGAGCCTGTGGCAAAGCATGAGCTTTGTTTCTTCTAGGCCTCAAACGAAGGCCAGAACCTTGCTGTCTCCAGGCCTCAAACGAAGGCCAGAACCTTGTTGTCTCCAAGCCTCAAGCGAAAGACAGAACTATGCTGACTTCCAGGCCCAGACGAAAGGTGTGGCTGTCCTGATTCCAACCCCCAGTCGAAGGAGACAAAGAGGAAAATCTAAGGGCATGGCTCCACTGACTTCAAAACCTAAATCGAAGGAATCTAGGAAAGGCAGAATCGAAGGGCATTTCTACCTGAATCGAAAGACCTATTTTTCTTGTTTTTTATTTAATTTTTGCCTTTATATTTTCATGATATTCAATATGGTTATAATACTGTAGGATTTTATCTTCTTATTTTTGTATAAATGCTAGTAACTAGGATGTATGGCAAGATAAAAAACAAGGAGTAGATAACCAAAAATTTAAAAGACAAAATGCATGCAATAAAACACACTACTCACACACATGCACCATTAGGGTAATTCCATTTTTTGCCTCGGAAAAATAGTCATGTCCCTCGAATACGGGCGTTTTAGCAAAGACCCTCAATAAAAGATTGTAGTCCCTCGATGACCCTTAATGTTGCCTTCGGTAAATAATCTAGTCCCTAAATGACATTGCTAAAATGTCTCATAAGTTGCCTTCTATGACTATACAAAACGTCCCACGCCCGTTCCTTTACATCCAACAATTGGGCTTCTTACCAAATCAATAGTAAGAGAGTGTTGTACCCCAAAATTTTCCCTCGCATTTTTCCACAAGAAATCTCAGCTTCAAGCCTTTCCTGACTTTTCAAAACTGACTCAAGAATCGGACAGACGGACTTTTCTCGTCAGTCAAACAAAAATTAGGGTTTTACTAATTTTCAGGACTCTGGATTGTTTCACAGTTGGCTTAGGGTTTTGGTTGATTTTGGTTCAATTTTGATCAGGCGAAGGTTCGTTGGCATTTAATCAGGAATTAAAAGTTTTTGGGCATATTCTCAGAAAGATTAAATTTCCACAGCACTTTGCAAGATTTTTCAAGATTCGGTTTGAATTCGCATTGTTTTGATTTGATCAGTAAAAGAGGCAGTTGGTTTGAATTCACCAGTCAAAGAATATGCAGTTTGGAATTACAAGTGCTTGGCAAAGAATCAGTGAAAAGGGAATGCGCTTGATCAGTTTATTTTAGTTAACTGCTGCTTTGCTTTGGATATTGGAAAGGACAGGTTTAATTGGTCAGTTACTAAAACATTGTTTTATTTAAATTATTTATTATTCTAAATTAAGTGATTGAAATTTAGTTTTCAATTATTTTAATTCAAGAAGTTTTAAATAAATAAATAAACAATAAAGAAAGAGGAATTAGAATTGGTTGGATAATAAAGACTTTTATTGATATTTGAATTATTTGTATA